GTGGGGGAGGGTAGGCCTTGTCTGTGTGTTTGGACAGGGTGTCTGGGAAACCCTGAGGAGGGGCTGACGTGGCCTTCGTGCCCCTTGTGGTGGGAGCCTGGCAGCTGCACCCGTGCCTGGCTTCTGTAGTTTGAGAAGTCAGTTACGTGGAATACTGTGCAACGTGTTAAAAACAAAAGCCACTTCTCAGCGGCGTTTGCATTTTGGTCTTAAGGGCGGCGCAGTCACCCCGTTGATGTGAAGTCGCCCCACTGGGACTAACCCGCCCCTGTTCATCCTCACGGCCCCGCCCTCATCTAAGGACGACCTGCATAATTTGATTACCCGCCTCTTTCAAACCTGCCCCTTACGGGTAATGACATCTAGCTAACGCCGCCTGGGGAGCGTGGGTTCCTATCCCTGTTACTGGGTGAGACTCTCGTCGCCGACTCTGGGGTATGGCTGCTGGGTGGGTTGTGGCGCTCAAGCTCACAGCATGACGTCGTTGAGGCTCTGGTTGCCCACAGGCAGGGTGAAGCAGCACATGGTGAGACAACACGCCCTTGCACGTGTCCCCGGTGGCTGTATTCTGGGCAGTGAGCGCAGAGGCTGCAGATCCTGACCCACGGGAGGTCAGGAGCAGCAGAGGACTGACCTGGGCTGGCCGGGGCTCTCTGGTGCCCTCCCTGGAATCGCATGCACGGCTACTGGCCGAGGCGGTCACTGGTCAAGGTGGCCAGCGCACTCCGCCAGGTCCCAGGGCCATGAGAGGGCTCCCACGAGGTTCCGCCCGCCAGGCCACACCATGCCCACTAGGCCCACACACTGCCCCCACACCCTTCCCACCAGCCACCCACCAGGCTCCCCTGCATCTCCGTCCTCTAGGGCCCACCTACAGGCCCCACCCCATCCACCAGGCTCCTCTTGCCCATTTGGACCCCCACCAGACCTCCCTCCCACACCCTCTCCCAGAAGGGGCTCCCATCCCATAGGCCCTGGCCACACCCACCAGGTCACTGCCCAGGCCCTCCAAGCCCCCTCCCACCAGGCTCCCCCATCACCTCTCGTTAGGCCCCACCCACGAGCCCCGCCCCTGCCCTCTAGGCCCCGCCCACAACCATTATCCCTAGAGACCACGCCCCTCCAGGCCCCGCCCCACCTCCAGGCCCCGCCCCACCACTCAGACCCCGCCCCAGAGGCCCCGCCTACACCCTCACCTTCATCCGGTGGATCTCCGCCTTCATGGCTCGGATCTCGGCCTGGCCAGTCTCAGAGTCCACCGAGGCGCGCATCTCTTTTGCCAGTTGGATCTTTTTCTCCCAAAGCATGATTTGGTGCCTTCAGAGGTGGGAGAAGCAGTTAGGGCTGGGGAACTGAGGCACGCCCTCCCCGCTCCACTCACCGCGGGTCCTGAAGGCGTTGCCACGCCCCTCCCCCCGGGACCACGCTGTGCATCTCAGCGTCAGGGCGCCGGGCTGTGCACTGTGTCTGAGCTGCGTCAGCGCGGCTTCAGGTTTTGTGTGTGATGGGGCAGGTACTTGGGGTCTGGGCGCGCTCAAACACGTTTCCCACATAGATTAGGGGTAACCCTTCTCTGGACACGCGCGCAGGCTGCATAGGCGCGGTCTGCTTTCGAACAGCGCGGGAAACCTGGATAAAACAATCCCATTTTTGTAAAAGAAACTAAGGAGATATACACACACCCTGGGGGTTCTGGGAAGGAAGCCCCAGACTGACCAGTCTGCCCAGGGCCCTGTCCTTTAAACACTGACAGTCGGCCTGTGTGACTTTCATAATCACACAGCACACAGAAATAATATTTTCCAAAAGTTTGTCTCTAAGAAAGCCCTTCGCGTTAGTGGGGATGGGGGCGGCCCTGACGTGCCCGGCCGGCGCGCGGGCGGCCTGTTAGCGGTGACGCTGGGGCCCACGTGTGCTGAGGCGGACTCACTCGGCCTCCACCAGGCTGTTGAGGACGGCAGTCTTCTCCTCGTTGAGCTGGTCCAACTTCTCCTGCATCTCGGTGCTCTCCCTCTCGGAGGCCTGGGTTGGAGAGGGCGGGTGACAGCTGGGGGACCTCTAGGGAGGGAGCCCCGTGGGACCCCGAGGTCATTTCCCTCCCGCCCCATCTGGATGCAGGGCTACAGGCCAGACTTCTGGCACTGCCACCAGCAGCCCCCCAGAACGTGGAGCTGTGTCCCTGTGGCAGTGCCCCATGGTGGACACGCATGCCGGGCCTGCGCCCGCCCACCATCGCCTGGGCCAGGGCCCTGAGGATGGCTCTCTGGATCTGGGAAGCCAGTGGGCAGGACAGAGGGCACACGGGGGTGGGGCGTGGTGGCCGGGGTCGCCCAACCTTGAGCGCGCGCACGAATTCGTTCTCCGTCAGCATGGTGACCTGCTGCAGCTCCTCGGAGCTGCACCGGTTCTTGTTCATCAGCGTGTTCAGTTGCTTCAGGTCGTTGTCCAGGTCCTTCATGTGCCGCTCAATCTCCTTCTTCTCCTTCTTCTCCTGCGTGATCTTGTCTGCCGCAGAGAGCAGAGACTCAGAGGGACAAGGCTCAGAGGCCACAGAGCAGAGACTCAGAGGGACAGGGGGCCTGGGGCTCACAGGACACAGAGCAGAGACTCTGCGTGTCCCAGGGCTTGGGGGCCTCTCAGGGCCACGTTTCGGAAGTCCAGCCGGGCCTTTGCTCCCTGAGGTTCCCATTGCCCCACTGTCCTTCCTGGTGCCCCATAAATGCAAACAAACCCGGTTCCATGAGCTGACTCTGACTCACAGGGACCCCGTGTGTGTCAGAGCAGAGCTGGGCCCCATGGGATTCAGGGCTGAGTTTTGAGAGGTCTCCGGGCTGTTTTTCTGGGTGGACTCGAACCCCCAGCCTTTGGGTTAGCAGTGGGTGCGCTGATCGTTCGCACCACTCAGGGCCTCCTGATGCCCCCTCCTCTCCCCTAAATCACGCCACTGCCAGAGGCCAGAGGGGACCGTGTCTTCTCCCAACCGCGATTTGCAAAGCCTGGTTCTTCTCAGGACTGGAGGAGCCCATGCATGGACGGCACACAGGAGAGAGGCATGGTGATGCCATGGCAGGTGCTGGCCTGTCCAGTGTGAGCCCTTGGCCCGTGGTGCAAACATTACAGTCTCCAAGAAAGGGCCTGGGGCCCTGTGTCCCTTCCTCCCCATGCAAAGAACCCAGTCTCCAACACACAGAGCAAGGTGGCCCCAAACAGGGCAGTAGGCCACAGGAGCTGGGGACAGAGGTGGGTGTTTGACGTGTCCAAGCAGAGAGGGTCGGGACCAAAACCAAAATACCAAACTCACTGCCGTCAAGTAGGATCCGACACAGCGACCCCTCCTTGGGTTTCTGAGGCGGTATCTCTATGGAAGTAGATTGCCCCATCTTCCTTCTGAAGAGTGGCTGGTGGGTTTGAACCGCCAGCCTTTTGGTTAGCAGTCAAGTGCCTTAGGCACTGCGCCACCAGAGCTTCTGGGTAGAGACCACAGGCAGCATTTTCTGCCCAAGGGGTGGGACCTGGAGGGCCCTCATGGCCAGGCTGTCCCACGTGGACCATAACCAGGACCCGATGGAACCGAGTAGGTCTCAGCGGTGACTATGGGCGATCGTGACCCACACTGCTGTTCTCCTCCTGCCATCATGGCCTTTGGGAGACCAAGCGCGCTCATGGTATAGTGGTTAAGGCATTTGGCTGCTAACCAGAAGCAGCTGTTGGAACCCAGCAGCCACTCCTCAGGAGAAACACGAGGCAGTCTGCTTCCATGAAGATGGACACGCTCGGAAACCCCGCGGGGGCAGTTCCACCCAGCCCTGCAGGGTCACGGTGAGTCACAGCTGACTCAACGGCAGTAGATTTGGGGGTTTGAATACAACCTGGGGAGGCAGGGGTGGGGCCGTGGGACAGTCACGAAATTCATCTCTGAGAGCAGGGAGTGCCCGGTGGGGCTTGTGGCTCTTTGCACAGGGGTGCTGCCAGGGATGGGCCTGTGTCCCCCAAATGTGTGTTGGAGTCCTTGCCCCTATTCCTGTGGCGTGATGCTGTTTGGGAAGAGGGGTTTCGTTGTACAATGAGGTCGTAACATTCTCTGCTGGGAAGAGGGGTTTCCTTGTACGTTAAGGAGGTCGTAACATTCTCTGCGTGACGGGATGGACAAGAGCAGCGGGAAGGACAGAGGAGGAGCTGGGCCAGCGCTGTGTCCCTGACGGTGCGTAGTATGGAAAGGCCGGGGAGAAAGGGCCCACCACTAGAGAAAGTCATCAATGTCCCTGAATTGTGCACGTAGGTGTTGACGTGGGGTGTGCTGTTATCAAAGAAATAAGGTAAAATAAACCGATCCCCACCCCTCCAAGGCGTGTCTCTTCCCTCGGGAGCAGCGCGCTACAGACCCGTCTGTGCACCCACCCATTCCGCCCGCGGACCCATCCGCTCCGTCCCCATCTCTGGGGGTGTGTCTCCTCCCCCAACGGTGGGCCGAGCGCTACAGACCTGTCCTGTGCACCCCCGTGTTCCGCCCGCGCACCCACCCGCTGCGTCCCCGCCTCTGGAGGCGTGTCTCCTCCCTGCGCATGCCCTGCGCACGCCGCTCGCACACCCACCCGCTGCGTCCCGCCTCTGGGGGCGTGTCTCTTCCCTGCGCATGCCCTGCGCACTCCGCCCGCACACCCACCCGCTGCGTCCCGCCTCTGGGGGCGTGTCTCCTCCCTGCGCATGCCCTGCGCACTC